AACACATCGTCAAGAATAGGAGGCTGCCTTCGGCAGCAAAAAGGCCTTGGTTAGTTTTTAATAGCGTTTAATAGGAACAAGAGATGTCAGAAAATGAACATGAAATGCCTGTGTCTACAGTATATAAGAACAATGGTGATTGCAGTTGAATAGTGCATACTACCTGCATGATTTAATTTAACCTCGATTTAACTATGTATATACTGTATTTTTTCAATGTATATACATGTACTGTATTTGCCATGATGCAATGTATCTCACATACATTTTCCTTTGATTATCCTTTTTAGCTTATAATGGCGTTCATGAAATGTTTATTGAATGGATTGATATCGTTGAGAAAGAATTCCTGGCTCTGATTTTACATATATGTCACATATTGAATGTGAGAGAGAAATTATGTACTTTAATATTAAATTAATATTATATGTTAATTATAAATATTATATGTTTCCAAATTTAACCTATTAACTGGAAGATTAAAAGATATTAACCCATTGAGCCACAATGCACCCTACTTATACAAAAATATGACAATGTCTCTATAGTTACGTACCATTGAGATGCAGTTCCCCCCACTTAATTTTTTTACTGGTCTAAATGCCAGATGATTTTACTCATCAGTCGGGAAGCTATGCAGCTTAATGGGGTAAAGAGTATTTGCATGAGATCAATATATTCTAGTTGTAATAATTATAGTGGATTAGCAAGCAACAGCCTAGAATCAAATTCAGCCCTGTTGACCAGGATGAAATTTCAGCCCTGCTTTACTACTATAAAATCCCAATAAAATTTGTGATTACATGACAAATTTTCAACCCAAATGAAAATTCAAGTGAAATTCCATCCCGGTTGAACTCACTAGCCCCTGACACTCACATGCATATATATAATTAACCTTGGGCTGAAATCGTCCATGTATTGTAAAAATTTTCCAGCCCATTCAACAGTGCTTGATTGATATTGATTCAACCAGGGGGTTGCTAATGCTTTCTATAATCAGTCCTTAATTGCTTATGGATACAGTTATGTAACATTGATGTTTGTTTTTTTCATGAACAAAAATTGCTATTAAATTTATATTTTGAATGTTTGGATTAATGACTCTCCTTTCTTCCAGCAGTATTTATAAGCAATTTAGGGTGATTGTGAATATAAGAAAGGGTGTGGTAAGAAAAGGTCAAATCGAAAATATTGTTTACTGTCGTTCCAATTGAAGTGTTGCTCAAATATTGATTCAATACATTACCTCGGGCTGACCAATTCATTTCATCAAGTTCCTCGAGATATTCATACACTTCCTAGTATAATTGTAAACTTCCTGTTGAATAGTTTGAATGCACCAATCACCTTTGATGTTTGTGCAACTAACCAATCATAAATAGAAAGGAAGTGACCAGAAATGATCAAATACTTGGAATTGGCTCTTTCACAGGAAGTGTATGAATATCTCGAGGAACTTGATCAAATGAATTGGTCAGCCCGAGGTAATGTATTGAATCAATATTTGAGCAACACTTCAATTGGAACGACAGTAAGTGGTTGGACATAGTTTTTGTCTTTAAATTACTGGTATAAATGTAATATCAAATCTGCTGTGATATTGTTACCACATTAATCTACTATGGTGCTACCCAGTTATAAACTAACCAATTCTCATAGCTTTAATGATACAAAATAATCTGATATATCAAAATCCTTTTAATGTCTTAAATTACAAACTCCTGCATGTGGCTTGAAATGGACAAGCATTTCCTCTGTAAATCCCATTATATATTATATTTATTAATCAGAAGAGACTGATAAGTTCTCCTTGAGGAGCTTTTAAATAATAATTAAAAGCTATGATTAGTATAATTAGGATTACAACAATTCGCAATCTTGACTTCTTGATTTTTCCTATGATTTTCCAATGATGTTGGCGTAACCGCAATTCGTCATTGAAGTGCCGATGCCATGGTCACAGCCATGCAGGGGCGTAGCTAAGGGCGGGTGGGGGGGGGGGGTGCCGCACCCCCCAATGCCGTGTCCGTCGGCACAATAAATCAGTTGTCGGCAAAATGAATTGGATCAAGCCAATAGGCAATACCTGATTGGAATGAGATTGTTTGTAGAAAATTTGTAGAAAATGCGAGATCGAAAAGATGGATATGTCGACTGAAAGCTCGGTCCTTTTCCAAACATTCAGCCAAATTGGCCAAGAACTTATTACTCTAATACGCTATTTAATAGTATTAAATTTTCTTGCAATTTTGTGAAATATGATACCATAGGAAACTCGAAGCACATGTGCGTGTTGACTGTTGATGCGTCTGCGCTTCATTTTATAATTTTGTAAAGCCAGTAAAGGTCTTAGAAATTACACCTAACGGTCTTATATACAATGAGAAATACGAAGATGATTTAAAAGAATGGACAGTAGCAAGCAAAAACGCAAACGGAAGAGAGAGAAACTGACGTGTTTAGTTTGTAATCGGTCGTTTGATGACGATTGGATGTGCTTTTTTGACATTTATACCAGGTATTTTAAGGAACTATTTCGCCTATTTAAAAAATAAATTATCTTACTACTCGGATTTCATCGTTATACATCACTTAAAAATGAATACGGTTCGTTTTGACCACGCCCTAACAACGTGCTAGCCACGCCCTTTTGTCGGCAAAAAGTTGTCTTGCACCCCCCGAAAAGGATAGTCTTCGCTCCGCCCCTGCAGCCATGGTCCTGGACAGTGCATCTCAAATGCACGCTGGCTAGGACTATGGCGTCAGCATCGACAATTGACAATACAGTATGTCACCTACTCCCATTGCGCCTGGTCTGTGCCTGGGTCAAAACAGTCGAATTTTTTCGCTAACCAATCACATTGCCAAGATTTGTTTTTCGCTTCGCGTCGCGCAAAAAAAATCGCCTAGTATAAAGCCCGTTCTCCACTAGGCGAATTTGTTCGCGCGAACAGTAAAAAAGTAGGAACTGATCAGTGAACTAAAAATATTTTGTTTGGTCGTGTTTGCAATCTCGTTCCCCGAGCCTGCGATCCTCGGGAAGGAATCGAAGGCTCTGGGATAATCCGTTACCGGAAGCCAAGAATCCTGGCTGAGATTGAACTACGCATTCCATTTCAATGGCCAATCAGATTCCTCCCTGAAACGGATTATCCCAGAGCCTCGCGTTCCTTCCCGAGGATCGCAGGCTCGGGGAACGAGATTGCCGTGTTTGTTTTTACGGGGAAAGACTGGGGGTGACTTGCATAATAATTGAGCATCAAGCTTCCGGTTGAAGGTAGCGTTCCAGTTATATTCATTTCGGCATGTTGTAAAACATGGACTGGACTTGTAAAACCTGGACTGGACTCATTTGTAAAACCTGGACTGGACTCATTTGTAAAACCTAGACTGGACTCATTTGTGAAACCTGGAATACACTTTGTACCTACCAAATCCTGATAAAAACTTCCGGCTGTACTAGCCAGGATGGCGTGGCCTGACGTGAGCGAGTTAAAATTTTCGTGGACGTCAAACAATAAGGGAAACGACTAGAGTTACGCTTCTGGTATAACTTCCTATTCTGTGGTACAGGGGTGTCTTTCTTTGTTGTGGAGGGGTAGCCTGCATGGCATCCGGTTTTAGGAGGACTTGCGGGCGGGAGACTGCCACGCAGGCTAGTGAAGGGGAAGCTTACTAAATTTCTTTTTGCTTACAGTAATTACTAAAAAAATGCTAGAAAGGTGGCCATATTAGAGGGGAAAGCCTATTTGACAGCAAACTGAATAGGAGATTCACAGTATAATACTATACCAAGTAACCACATTCTCATAGTGAACAGAAAAACACTGTGTAAACTTTACCTTTCCATTACAGGTAAAACAATCTCGCAAGCCAGAGTCGTAGCCCAAGTGCAGGTAAAAGACCGTGGCTTGCGAGGTTGCCATTAAAATCGCACTGTGTCCTAAATTACAACTATTTCGCTTTATATTGGACAATGGCTGTCAGTTCTACCTATAGAGGTCAAAAGCTGCTGGTTGTTCCATTAGTCTGCATTGCTTATATAGTTATGTGGCTTGCACATGAAACACTTAAAATAGGCACGAAAATGGCAGTAAGAATTTATTTCAATTATATCATAAAAATACTTTATTTCTATCAAATTATATGTACCCAAAATTTATCTATATGAAATTATTTGTACAAATTACGATATTTGCGCGTACAATTTGTAACTGATTTCAGTGATGAAAATTAAATAATAAAATTATTTTACATGTCGGGTGTAAGAATTTCATGCCGGTTTGTGGAGCTGATCTCACAATATTTTTGCAGATTGCATATTCATAACCTGGAATGTTCTTTGCAACTGTAATCTGTATAGGGTTGAAACGATGCGGTAATGATATTAGTAATCTGTACCTGATTACGATAATACCATTTGGTCATGCTTTTTAGTCTTCAAGTGCCTATGTCATGATTTGTGTTATTTATTATTTGTAATCATTGGTATATTTTATGAAGAAATGCAATATATCTTAAAGAAAATGTTCTCAAAGAAAAGGAAATGAAATTAATATTACTTAAAAGAAAATATTCCATCTTCACACGATTATCAGGCCTCAAAGTTACCAGATATGACATCAAACCGGAAATTGAAATTAGATTTCTTTTGTTTCTAGCGTATAAAATTCCCGATTTGACGTCATATCCGGTAACTTTGAGGGTTGATAATCCTATGAAGATGGTATATTTTCTTATAAAGATATATTTCATTTCTTCATAAAATGCACCAAAGATAAAAAATATTTAAAATCCCAAATCATGACATAGGCACTTTCAATAATTGAGCGAGTCATGTTTTGGGAATGACAATAAATTTTTATTACCCAACCCTTGAGTTGTTTTGTTTTTCATTTACCCAACCTTTTACTCACTCAAAATTTTGTTTACCCAACCCTTTTCTCTTCGGTGCCACCCCCTGCCATAAATAATGACCGATCCTTGTATTATTGGTCCCGGCTGTACGAAGACCGGATAGTGATTTTTTGTCCGTTGTAAGACTGGATAATTTGCTCAAGTCATGAAACTACAGGATAAAGCAGTTTTTCATGAAGCCCTATATAGGACTGGATAAAATTTTTAACAATTGTGATTCACGTCGCCGAAGACTGGATAAATTATATATCATGCATGTCTATAGATTTTGCATGTACCCAACTACCCCCTGGCAGAATTACTATCCCCAAATACTACGTTATATTACGGCATATCCACCGGTCGTAATGAACCTGTTCCACACTTATCTATGAATAATTTTCTGTCTTTATGAGCGTCAACTTCATCCACTTTGCTAACAATTTCTTCCATGGCCTAAAACATGTACAGAACTTTCACAACGCTAGAACAGCATGGTTTTTCGTCCTATAGTTCTTGGTTAGAGTATTCCCGTGTATCGTTTGTGAAACAATTTTGAGAGACTGTGGAAGAGTAAAGCTGGATTTCGATGTCGAAATTTTTCGCTCAATTTCTTTTAAATTGTGAGCGGTCAGGTGGAACTGATGGTCATAATTCAAACGAAATCAAGCGAAATATGTCGACGTCGAAAAAAACCAAAACACGCAAAAATTTCACATTTTGTAGCAAGTCTGCCAACAAGCCGTCAACAAGTTGTATTCGCACTGCTTGTCCCAAGTTGTCAACAAGTATGGAACAAGCTGTTAACAACTTGTAACAACCTTGTTGATGACATTTGTGGTGTTACTCTGAGTGTATATCCACACCGGGCGAGCTTGAAAAATATGCCCGGCCACGGTGGGATTCGAACCTACGACCTTTGGAATACTAGCCCAATGCTCTTCCAACTGAGCTACGCGGTCAGGACGGTTCGAGTAAGTGATATTTCGGAACAGTATCTAGTTCCTTCGATACCAATGTATACTAGTAATATGAATTTTTTTTTTTCTGTGTTGGTGCAGTGTACTCAGGTGAATATGACATTTGTGGTGTTACTCTGAGTGTATATCCACACCGGGCGAGCTTTTTTCAAGCTCGCCCGGTGTGGATATACACTCAGAGTAACACCACAAATGTCATATTCACCTGAGTACACTGCACCAACACAGAAAAAAAAAAAACCTTGTTGATATTATTAGACTTGTTGCAAGGTTGTTCCAACAAGTCCGATACAGTCGATCATGATATAACAATATTGTTACAACCTTGTTTCGTCAAACTTGTACCAATCCTGTTATATCATGACTGTATCAGACTTGTTAGAACAACATTGTGACAAGTCTGATAATGCCAACAAGCTTGTTACAAGTTGTCAACTGTTCCAAACTTGTTACAACAACTGGGAACAAGCAGTGCGAACACAACTTGTCGACAGCTTGTGAACAGATTTGTAACAACATGTTTGCAGACTTGTAACAACTTGCATGTGCGTTTTTACGTGTGTAGATGGAAAGGTTATTGCAAGACTGTGAAAACATTGAAAAATGTTACCTTTTCACATATTTCATTGACTTCTTTCCTCAGAAATACATACAGCATAATTTGCTTCTTGGTAAATTCAACTCTGTCTACTTCTTGCTTTTCTAACGTCTGGAAAATGTAAACATGGTACACAAGTAAAAATCTAACAGCTTGTCAACAAGATGTGTTCGGAACAGGCTTGTAGGAAGCTTGTCAACAAGTTGTCAACAATGCTGTTATTTTATCAAGTTGCTACAAGGTTGTCACTTACAACTTGTTGAATTGCAGGATAATAACAAGTTGTTGGAACAATTTGTAACAAGTCTGTTGAGCTCAACAACCTTGTAGCAAGTTGTTAACAAGCCGTTGTAGCAACTTGTCAACAAACTGGAAGCAAGCAGTGCGAACAAATCCTGATGACAAGTTCTTGGAACAGCATTGCTTCAAGTCTGCAGCAGGTTTGTTACAACTTCCGCGTTTTTATACGCGTGAAAACGCACAAGTTGTTACAGACCTGCAAACAAGTTGTAACAAATTTGTATACAAGCTGTCGACAAGTTGTGTTCGCACTGCTTGTTCCCAGTTGTTGCAACAAGTTTGGAACAAGCTGTTAACAACTTGTAACAAGTTTGATGGCATTATCAGACTTGTTACAAGGTTGTTCTAGCAAGTCTAATGGAGTTGTGATATAACAAGAACGTTACAATATTGACGACACAAGGTTGTAACAATATTGTTATATCATGACTGTATCGGACTTGTTGGAACAACCTTGCAACAAGTCTGATAATATCAACAAGGTTGTTACAAATTGTTAACAGCTTGTTCCAAATTTGTTGACAACTTGTGACAAGCAGTGCGAACACAACTTGTTGACGGCTTGTTGACAAACTTGTTACAAGATGTGAGATTTGTATGCGCGTGTACGTGTATAATGTATTTACGGACTTCAAGATATATACATGATACAACAATTATACAACATCTCGAGACAACGAATTGTTCGCTGTTTTCTTGCGTTTTCTGCAGAAACAAACATACCGAACAAGCAGAAACCATGTCGTCCACCCATTTTCGTTGACTTGCGTTGTACGTTTCAACGGCTTTCCGATGTCCGTGACCTTCAAGTGATAAGAAAAGATAAAATCTTGAACACGAGAACACCAAATAAGTCAGGAAAGTTTTGAAAACTTGCATACCTGCTTGGACCGTTTTCTTCACTGCTTTTTCGTATTTGTCTAAAGCCTTAAAACAAGGGAAAATATTTTTAAAGGGTTTACGATTTGAGCGCACACAATGCGATTTTAGTCAGGGCGATTTACAGTATATATTTACAGTGCATGGTATTCAACGATGTAAATGCAGAGGACTATGGCAGAGGAGCAAGAAAACGGGCCCACAGATTATGCCACTGACAGTTTTTCGTTTTATCATGCATCCAAACCAGAAAGCTACAGTATTCTGATATATATATCTATATATATATATATATATATATATATATATATATATATATATATATATAGAAATAATTTATGTATGCATAATTCTTAGTATAATTTTGTTTGTTCGAATTACCTTGGAAGATTGTTGTGCGGTAATTTCTTTCTCGCCAACAGCCTTTTGTTTTTCCGCTACACTTTCGCGAGCCTTGATTAAAGAAATACAATAATTTTTCATTTAGGTCATATGTAATTTGATGTCTTTCTCTCTACAACCACTATGGGTGATTCCAGCTATAGACGAAATTTTGATCTAGGCAAGAAGAACGAAATCCAACACCACAGCTAGAAAGAGCGTCTTAGAATGAGTAAAACTGCGAAGATTGGTTGCTAAATGTTGTAAAATGAAGAAAATATAGCCCTTTGAAGTTCGCAAATTTTGTATATATTTGTATTACGCGCGGTAAAAAAAAACACTTTGGGCTCAAAAATTTTTCCCGCGCGTAATGCAAATATATACAAAATAACTTCACAGGGCTATATTTTCCTCATTTTACAACAATTCACAACCAAACTTTGCAATTTTAATGTGGTTAAATATATTTAAGCAAGGTTAACGGCGGATGTATTATGCAGGCTACATCCGCTGATGGGAGTCCGTGACGTCATATCGATCAAAGGGGATTGTTTCGCGCCTTGTGATCATTGCTTTGGTCTGGGTATTCATTCTGCCATTGTATGCTTTGCCTAGTTGCAGCAAGTTTAGCGCCTCGTTACTTTTTCCCCACCCACCCACCCATGATATTCTAGAGGGTTTTATCGGGTAGTCTGTCGGTATTATTTTTTTGGGGGGGTGGTGGGGGTTGTTTAGTTGTTTGTTTTTGTGGGGGTTTTTTTTTGGGGGGGGGGGTTATAGATTTAATCTCACAGGAAATAGGATGTATAGACCACTATACATTGTATTTCATCCAGCTCTGGTAATGGATTTCGTTCTTCTTGTCTAGATCAAAATTTCGTCTATAGCTGGAATCATCCATTGCAAAAATTGCAACGTTCAAAGTTATACAGGATTGGTAGTCAACTTCAGGAATGTTGACACTTAAGCCTGGTTCACATGCACTAGCAATTTTGTCGTCGATTTTGTATTTCTGGTGGATGCAAATGAGTGAACTCGCACACAAAAGTATATAGAGTCGCTTTCCATATTGTACTCGTTACTCGAGAACTTTATGTTCATGTCCAAACCTTTTCAACCAAAGCAAACGATGAAGAGACAGCCTTCCTATCTTCGTGAAGCAAATCTTTGAATTGATCATGCTAAACAACCAAAGACAAAAACAACCTGATTACACCTGAATCTCTTTAGCTTTTAACAACCTTTACTACGATGTGCGTTAACTCAGGGTCTTATTATATATTGGGACAAATCTTCTATTGTTTCGACGTGCAAAAATTTCATAGAACGCTTTGCCGAATACTCAGCGCCACCGCAAGGGCAGAGGGACAACTTACCCACGGAACCTCGATATGACAGGGCACCGCCAATGATAGTTATAGTGGTGTCAGGAAGAAATTTTGCTTCTAGCCTAGATGGGCGTTAGTACAGTATGTACCCATTATTGCCAGGCCTCTGAATTAGCGAAAAATCAGGACGGCAAAAATTTGCTGACCGAAAACTAAAACAGGTCGGCACAGTCGGCAATTTCAAATTTTCAACAAAATGTGTCGGTATTGTAATAATTCCATTTGTATTTGCATTTGCATTTGTATTTGCATATGCAAAACAGTAATTGCCGATTGCCGACCTGAATTCAGAGGCCTGCATTGTGTGCTCTTTTTTATCAGAGGATTGGAGGTTCGATGATGCAGGAGCGCAGTACCTTTTTTTACTCTGCCCACGAAAATGATTCCCAAACAATGTTGATCCCAATGAATCTATTAGTTTTTCATCTTACCATCTTTTTGTCCGCTTTTTGTTCTTCCGCGACCTTTGTTTGGATTGGTTTTTGCACCTTATTAACCAACTACAATGTCAAAAAATAGAATCACATTGAATTGCGAAAACAAAATATATACAGTATATTCACTACCGTATAGTACTTTACAAGGGATGGACTAAACTCCAAACTTTTATTAGCAAATACTTCTTCGGTGGTGCAATCGTCAAAGCAGGCGACTTTCACCATCGTGCGTCGCTACGGTCTCGTGATATTCACGTGAAAAGAGTCAGTCAACGCTCTGCCGAAAGGAATCGTTGGTTTTCTCCTCCAGCTGGTACTCCGGTTTCCTCCTACAGGGAATGTTGATACGGTTGGGATTATCTCCCTAACTGACCATTCCACCGTAGCTGTGCTCCGTGATCAGACATGAGTCATAGGATGGCTGCCAGATTGAGATGCGTCCTATTATACGTAATGGACCTATTCCCTAATGAACAAAATTTTGATCTAGACAAGTCTAGACAAAAATTTCATCACAACTTGAAAGAACATGACAAAATTAGTAATATTCCGAAGTTGCGTTGCGAAATGTTGTAAAATGCAGATAATATAGCCTTGCGAAGTTTGCCGTTTTTTCAGTTATTTTTTATTACGCACGGGAAATTGATACCTTTTTTCATTACTAATTTTGTAATGCTTTTCAAGCTGTGATGAAATTTTTGTCTGGACTTGTCTAGATCAAAATTTTGTTCATTAGGGAATAGGTCCATTCAGCTTAGTTCCCGGATGCAAGTAAGGAACCCCCACGTAGCTATTAGTAGCGATGACAATCCGGGTATACGGATCGGAATGAAGCTTTGTCGCTCATAACGACGTCTCGTATGTGTTACCTTTACTGCGAAGGCTTGGTGAGCGCTTGCTTCCTCTTGCAGTTTCGTCTTAAGATGTTTCCACGCTCTGCCAAGCGTCCTAAAAAGAACAACAAATATACAGTATCATACTGAGCTGGATTTTCAGGCCTGGAGGTTTCATGATTTATGGCATTTTTATGTAATTTGCGTTTTGCGTTGTGGCAGAAAGGTGCAAAAATTAATGAATATTTCCTACCCTTCTTCCTGATCTCCGTAAATAGAGGCGGCCAGTTTCGCTAAACTTTTGGCATAAACGTCTTCAATTATTGCTCTTGAAGTAAGAAAATCAGCATCAGCTTGGTATGAAATTGTTTTTTAAGTTGACAAAGGAGTAAAGATGACAGAGATAGACTCAACTTGATCTGTTGAAGGAGTCTCAACCAAACGCTACTGCTGATTGGTCAAAAACGTATCACGTGCCGATCCACAAAACTGACTGCTCACTGACACTGCATGCTTTGGTGAGGGGGCAAATGGTCAGCGATGAAACTGATCGAATGGAAGAGAGGCTACTGAGAAAGGGTTGGAAGAATTAGGCACATATATTTACCTTTCCCTAACAAAATCTGCCATTTCCTTGCAAACCGCTCTACCAAATGTATATCTACCAATAAGAATATCTAAGCCGGTCAGGTCCTCCTTGTCATCCTAATGAGAAAGAAAATGCAAGCAAAATTTATTTTTGCAATTTTTCAGTTGCACTTTAACACATTTAAACTATTCTCTTTAGTTGTTCAGTAAGAGAAATTCCTTATTGGTCTCAAGTGTGATTTATTTAGGTGAAATTACAATCTGAAAATTACATATCAGGAAACAAAGCCCAGTAGCAAAGGTGAACGGTATCTGTATTAATAATGTCAAGTCCTATCACTTACCCAGAAATGATCGCAGTAACTGTACTGCCCAGGATTAAACAACGTCTGTCCATGTCTGGAATCTGCATTCGGAAATGTCATGAAGTTTCTCTAAAGTATTCACAGAATAATTCCCAAAATGAGGTTTTTCAGTACAAACTAATTTAACTTTATTCATGTGGGGTGGGAAATTCGCAATTTTCGGCGGTAATATTTTGCCAATGAAACACCATAAGTATACGCACCGACATGAGCATAAGAAAGAACGCAACGTTTTGATATTATTATGCTTTAAACGTTTATGCTTGCATCGTAGTAAAAGCCAGTCTTAGAAATGGATTATTTGAAACATGAAATATTTATAAATGACAGAAAATTCACTTGTTTAAATGTCTTTGATGGATTCTTTCTAAGTCATGCGAGAATCTTGCGTTGTACTGTAGTGAGGACACAGTTAGAATAACAGAAGCATAAAGATATCAAAGCATCTCGCTTGCTTATTTGATGCTTACTCTTATGCTTGCGTTGTAGTGTAAACGCCATTTAAGGATACAGAACAAAAACATTTTTATATCGTCTTTTTACTCACAACAACAGTGGTAGGTCTTTTTAAACTTGGTTTCTGTAATGGATAAGAATTACAAACGTCAGTAAAAGTGGCATGAAAAGGGAACTCACAATAAATTATAAAAAGGAAAACCATGCATGTTGTGATTCTATTTTTATCTTTTTTAGTTAATCGCTAAGATTTTTCTGGGATTTTGCAGCAATGAATCACACATTAAATCACCTTTCTAAGACTCTTCCTTTCCTCTCTGTCAGGAGATTTTGTCTTCGCGGTTTGAGCTTCACAAAAAAAATAGAACTTTACGTTAACAGTAAATACTGAAACCTTGGAGCACTTAGGGAAGCAAATTACTAACATCTAAGTTACGTCACACCATAGAGGTCACACTACACAATTATGCATTGTAGTATACCTGGCTGTGCTGAAGCTACATTGTTGTTTGTAGTTGGTAGAGTCCACGTTCGTTCTACCATAAACATAAAAAAAACATTGAAATCATTAACATGTAAACCTACACAGGAAAAATTATGAAGGGAGCTTCTTTTAAAGAGCAGAGGCCCTTTTAGAGGGAGGCTTATTAAAGATGCAGCCTTGTTGGGGGGGGGGGGGTATTAAACAGGGCACTTTTCAGAGAAGGTGGGCTTATCAGAAAGGGACTTATTAGAGAAGTGGACTTATTAGAGAAGTGGCTTGTCAGAGAGGGTGCTTATTATAAAAGGGGGCTTATTAGAGAGGTGGGCTAATTAAAAAGGGGGCTTATTAGAGAAGTGGGCTTATTAAAGAGGTGGGCTTATTAGAGAGGTGGGCTTATTAGAGAGGTGGGCTTATTAGAGAGGTGGGCTTATTAGAGAGGTGGGCTTATTAGAGAGGTGGACTT